TAACGGCGCACCGACGGTCCTTTGGTTCCCCAAAACCACCTCAGCTCAGCTGCGGCCAAATTAGATTTCTTTCTGTCAGGATTTTGCAAACGAGGTCGCCGCTTGGTAAACTCAAACGTAACCTTTACATATTTGAAGGGGTTTTGAGGAACCCTACCCTGCTGGTGCAGTGATGTCTTTGAATTTTACAACATGTTACATGAAATTAAGGTTTGAAACTACCAGCATCAATGGATTCAGGTCTTTTTCGTCTCCAGGAATGCAGCAGTGTGTCGGCGGTTTTCTGACCTGCTGTTAATCAGTTGATACCAATCAGCTGTTTTGTTCTGTAGCGTAGCATTCATGCTAGCACCTAAACTTCTGCTCAAACATGCACCAGGTCAGCAGCGCAGCGCTCATTCAGGGCACGTAATGTTCGAACCGTTGCTGATGCAGAAACGGATGATGGTTTTCACCGATGGAAATCTCTTTAATGTCTGACCTGACGGCAGTTGCAACATTCAAAGATCACCAGAGCACGTGTTGGACTGTGAGCTAACGCCCACACCACCGTACCACACGGAGGATGTTGATTTTATATAAAAAATAAAATAAAAACAAAACCTGCAATAAAAAGTCCAGTCTACAGTATCTACGAAGCGGAAGGAGAGGGCGTTGAAGCCACACTGTAAATAGAGAATAATAACCAGTTCTTGTTTGCTGAGGCTGCACAGACTCGAGGGAGAAGATTACAACCAGAAGTATGAAGCAAGTTTCAGACTCAACACCAAACCACCTTTCTAATGTTATTAACACAAAATAATTGCTTTCCTTCCCTGTTAGCGCTGTGCAGCCAGAGCATTTACTACTACATGTCAAGGCCGTACTTGTGAGGCCTTATCTAAAACCACTGTCTACAACATCAGGCTACTCTGAACATTGAATATTGAAACCAAGAATACGTCTTCCTGTCTTAGAAGCACAGGAATGTTAACAACCATCTGACGGAGGAACCTATAGCCTCGTTTGAAAAATAAAAACCGTTCTGATGCTGTTATTTTTGTTTTGTGCGTGTGTTATGGTCATTTGTGATGGCCAACGTAGAAGTTTAAAATCTCACAGCTGCATGGTGCAACCTCTTCGATTAGTATCTTCTCACAACACAAACAATGGGAATCTTCTACGATGGCTACACCTGAAGGACACAGAAGACAGACGCAGCGCTGTCACGTGATAATACGTTCCTGCTAATAGAGGGTGTTTCACTCTGAGTAAGCTCATGCTTCCTGATGCGCTCACATATACATAAAAAACTAGTCATCTTTTACATTAGAACCCTGTTGTACCACCTTGTGTGTGTGAGAGACAGAGAGAGCTGTGTTGTAGGTTTGTTTAAGCAGCTTTTGGCTTTTATTTTCTTCTGTAGGGGCTAAATATGTCCGTCTGTGTTACACGACCAACATTGATTTGTTGATCTGGGAGAATCCAGATTGGATGTACTGGTGGTAGAATTATTGGTACTCCTCCATCTAAAGGAGTCCGCATGACACGAACGTGCCTGAGCTGACGGCGTTCATGTCGGACGTTTTGTCCACCTTAAAATCCTTGGAGCACGTGTGTAAACATGCTAACTGGACACGCAGATGTGTTCTTTGGCGTGGTCGCTCCTAAACACCAATTGTTTTTTTAGGAAGAAATGGAAAGTAGAATGAAATTGTAACTCCATTTAAAAGTTCAAACCTGTGTTGAGCAGCCCTTTAAAAAGGATTCGTTACACTTTGTTTCACCGTACTCTGGGCCCACACAGGTTCATGTTGGTTTTGATCGCTCCCCTGACGATATAACCTTTTTGAATTTGGTAACGAAGATAAAATAATCTGTAGGACTGCTGAACGCAGTTTGAGAAGTAGTTAGTTCAGTAGTAGTCGTGTTGGAAATCAAATAACGAAGCTTGCCAAATAAGGAAGTTTCTAGACATACACATCTGACTGTATATATATTGTGTATGATATATAGTTTACATACATGTTTTTTACATTTTATTATTATTTTTATTTTTTTTAAACCCCTGAGAATACCACAAACTGCCTTTTTAAGTAAAAAATACAACTCTCTACGAGAACAACAAAAACTCTGTAAAACTGTCGAAAAATGAAACACACCTCAAAGAGCGCTGACGTAAATTATGTCGTTATTTTAATGTCGTCAACGTGTGATTGCAGAAGAGCCGCCACTACAAGGGCTTGGCCAAGTCGGACTCGAGTTGCTGCCATGCTGATGTCACAACCTCCGAAAAATGATCGTATTGCATCAAAAATACAGACTGCATAGATGAGAAACCTAAGAAACTAAATTATTTTGATGTCTGTTGTCTGATAGCAATGCCTCACATGGTTTCAATTAAATACTTTGACGGTAAAATCTTAAAAGGATAGTTCAGATCTTCTGAAACTGGGTTCTGTGAGAAGGTTATGAATAATTAACGTCTTACCTGTTGTAGACAGCTCTTTGAACATCAGTTAGGACAAATACTTTTAATTTTTGCCAGATGATGAGCTAACGGATAATCAGCAGAGCTAGGACCAATGGTGGCTATTTAAACAAAAAGCTTCAGTCTCAAAACAATTGTTATTAATATGAATACTATTTTATAAATCGTTACATAGCAGTTAATGTCACAAGTAATATTTGTAAGAGTCCTGCCAACAGTGTGCTTCTTGCTGCTGTTGTGTGTAATATGACATTGACAATGAAAAGGTTTATAAAATGGCATTTGCATGACTCAGTATGAAAGACAATATATTTTTGTTGCTCTTGTTGGACTAGCTCTGGGATATTCAATTAAATTGCTCAGGGGGCCACAGTTACTGAAAGCCAAGGGCTCAGGGGCTGGAAATCCAGCAGTTAGTCATTAATTAAGCTTGTTTTATGGTTTAAAATCTAGTTTTATATATATTTTTTAATAATCCATTGGTGGGCTGAACTGAGCTCACCAGTGGGCCTGATTTGGCCACTGGGACACCAGTTGAATAGCCCTGGACTTGCTCTTTGCTCGTCATTCTGGTCAGAATTAAACTATTCCTCCAAACCAAGGTTGTCCACAGAGCTGTCTACAACAAGTAAGAGGGTTAGCCTTTAAAAAAAAAAATCACTGTAATGCAACTTTGATATGTGCTACTGATTATCCATGCTGCTGTATTCATTCATTCATTCGTACTCAGCCACCCACAAAGACGCATGTTTGTTCTGCTGCTGTTCGTTGTTTTGCACCATTAGTGACTAGCGTATATCTTAGATCTTTTAGCGTACCGCATGGCGTTCGTTTAGCGTATATCTTGGATCCTTATTTACAGTTTCTTTTTACACTTTATAGTTTTGCTATTGTTGGATGTAACTGGGACTCTGTGTACACAATTTCGCTCCACCTCATGTACCACATGTGATGCGAATGACAAAGAACCTTGACTTGACCTTTCTACAGAACCCTGCTTCAAAAGAGCTGAACTAACAGAACTCACTCATCTTGTTTCTGATGCACATCGCTCCTTTCAACCTGCAAATTAATCAATTTTTAGTTAAGTTCTAGTTTGCTTGGTTGTGAAAGAAAAGTACCAAAGATTCAAATAGATAAATGTTATGGTTAATTTTAACATATCAAACTTTAATAATAGTATTGTTTTGGGGCCACCTTTCCAGTGAGGTAGTTGCTCGCAGTCCAACTTGACCAAATTCTTGTATTTTGAGGACTCTGTACTGCAGTGACACTTATGGGGGGGTCATATCGTAGGTCTGTTTCACACTGATGGTGCAGTGTGGCTCTGCTTTGCAAAATGTCGCAGATCCTTTGTTGTTTAATGGTAAATGCTGCATTTAGTCTTGTTTTAGGCACTATTCAATTATTAAGGTGACAAGGAACCCAGTCTTGGCTACGCACAGTAACCAATCCAGTGGGATTTAGTTTAGCTTTGATTGTTACAAATCCGATTGAGAAACAGCTGATTGATTTTTATTCATTGATTGGTTGATTTTTAAAGGCTCGAGGAAAGATATTAACAAGACAAGCGGCAGAAGGCACAACGTTTCTGCAATGAGATTTTTGTAAAGATTTAGAGGGGGTAAATTGTTTTTAAGACAAGATTAACAGCAGTTGACAATAGATCAAAAACATTTTTTTTTAAACTGTTGATGTGAGCAAAGGGATTTTCTTTTGAGTAGTTTGTGTTAAAGATGTTTGTGTCTCCGCGACAGTGGAAAACAGCAGCAGGGTTGGTGTCAATCTGTTTGCCAAGGAAAAAATTGACAAGCTGGATAAGTGCTTTTTAGGGGCTGGAAACAGATTAAATGATGAATGCTTCAGGGTAGATTTTAAGTCAACAAGAATCAAATTGACCCCAACCCTGGATCAGCACTCGAGTGCTGCTCATATGATTAGCTAGTTGTGCTTTGCAAGGCTGAATAAATGTCCCATGTCACCCTCTGCACATATTCAGACCAACTCTGGTAGAAAAATGTCTTTCACTGAACATATTCCACAAACAGGAACTCATGGATGCAACTTGGGCCGTAACAGCCAAGAATGAAGCATACCCTGAAACCAGCTTGAGTAATAGTAATAATGCCCCAAAGTGTTTTAAAGTCTGGCAGATACCCCAGAGGGGGGGCCAGCAATGGGCACTTCAACACCCAGAAGCAAAATGGATCTGAGATATACAAAACAGAAAAGACAAACGGTGACGTTCCTTTCTTGTTTGTTGAACGTTGACAACAAACCGTGGTCCAGTGGAGAAGAGTTACTGTACGATTGGCATACAGCTACATTCAAATTCCCCCGAAAAACAAATCAGGTTAAGGGCTGAAGCTCTCTGTTGATAGATGCAACAGAGATTTGGTTGAACACGGATATCCAGCCATGGTTTGTCGTTTATACTGGGCACAGATGGGAAAAAAAAACAGCCATCCAGCAGCGCTCTGCTTGGATAACTGCCTTTATGTTTGTGTTCGTCACTCTGAGTCTCGGTTTCTTAGGATGCTAGTACGCTTCTCCTCAGTAGGTCCTCGTTCCCAGAATGCAGCTGCGACAGCCGAAGTTTACGTCTGCCAGAGCGCATGTCTGAATCACTCTGCTCGCCATCAGAGTAGTACCCGTCAGTCTCAGCAGCGTCCAGCAGGGACGAGCCCTTCCCTGCGAGAGGAAGGTCCATGGACTCCAGCCTGCCTATCCCTCCCCTCGCTCTTGATTTACCCTGGCGGACCAGACGGGGCCGCGGGACCCCACCGCGTAGGATCGCTCCAGCGTCAGGCTCTGTGATTCCAGGACTGGAGGCTGGAGGGGGTGACGAGTTCGCTGTGAAACCAGATCCAGCCCCTGAAGCAACACCATTCCCCAAATGGATGCTGTCCCATAGACCGTAGTCCTCGGAAATGTGGCAGGAATCCATTTTGGAGATGGGTGGTTGTGGTGGTGGGTCCTTGTGAAGGTCAGAGCTCCTGGTCTGGTGGTGATGATGAACATGGTAATGCGAGGTCCTGGAAGAGCCTCTGGGCCGTTCCCCTTTTCTGCCTCTATGGCTGGACTTTTCTTCTGTCTCACTCGCCCAGAGGCTCTTAGCTGTGGAGGGGCTGCTGGCTGTGGCTGCAGCCGCAGCAGGCAGAGGCTGAGCAGGCGCGGGGGTTTGACCTCGACCACAAGACTTGTTGCTTCTGGGTTTGCGGCCCAGCTGGGGTGTTTTCCAGGTCGACTGCATGGAGTTCTCCATCATAAGGTTGAGGAGGCTCTCCTCGCCCTGCATTAGCTGGAAGAAAGGAGGCAAAGACAGTTCAGATTAGGACAGTTGGGTGGAGCTCAGAGATGTTGCTGTTTATGTCTGGGGTTTGATATTTTGCTGGTTCCAATACGGCATGAAAAGAACTAAACAAAACAACAACAACAACAACAACAACAACAACAACAACAACAACAACAACAAC